GCCAGAAAGTGAGCTCTGAGGCGCTAGCAGTTTTGCTTGGAAATTACTAATTGTAGGTTATACAGAAAACTTAATACATTTGAAGATACGTTTAAAATTGAAGTTTTTTTCTGTTCAAACTGTTAGTCTTATAGTCTCATCAAATTCCAACCTAGTGTTTCTTAGTACTGGGACAGAACAAGGTGTGAGTATATGCCCCCTCTCTTTATCAAGAAATTAATTTCAGGGGCTGGAGACATGCAGTGGTTATGAGCACTGGCTGTTCTTTTAGAGGACCCAGGTTCAATCCCAGCACCCGCACAGTAGCTCACAAAGGTCTATGATCTTAGTTCCAAGGTCCAGTGCCTCTTCTGGCTTCCTCCAGCACCATGCATGCTCATGGCACATAGACACATGTACAGGCAAAATACCCATATACACAAAGTAATAAAAACCAATTTTTAAAAAGAATTTCATTGAAAAGCACTTGGTCATTATTTTCCTTCTGTATGATAATTATTTCTTAGTGAATTAACTTTTAGAGTATCATAAGTTTATACACAAAATTCAGTAAAATAATATTTTGGCTGCCGCCCATTTATAGCTATTCATTTGTGATTATTACTGTCTATAATTTTGCCTTATACAGAAAAAGTGGTGCTAATGGAAATAAAAAACAAAATCAGAACACAAACAAAACAAACCTGGATTACATGCCTGTAATCCCAGAAGACAGGGAGTTCAAGGCCAGTCTCAACTGTATGAAATTCTTTCTCAAGAAATCAAACAAACAAACAAACAGAAAACATAAATCTGCTTGGGTGTATGCTAGACACACACACACACACACACACACACACACACACACACACACACACACACACACACAGCAGCTGCTAAGGCACAAATCTGCCAGTCACTAGGTTAGTGCACCGACGGCAGGCCGGATGGTGGGAAGGTGGGTTACAGTGCCATACGGCTTGGGTAGTTGCAGACAAGCAGAGATCTTGGAGAGGGGTGTATGCTGGTGTGTTGGCCTCTAGGAGACTTCCAGATCGCGGTAGTACCACCTAAGATCAAATGTCCCCCCACCCCCACCCCACCGTTCGTTCTCTGCTGTACTTCTGAGGCCCACCACGCCGTGTCGCTGTGACAAAGCAATCGGACCCCAGGGCTCCTCTGAAGCCCTCTGTGGGTGGGTGTGTCTGTCCAGCGTAGGGAGAGCGGGTTCTGACTCAGACTGGCCAGACCCCCGCAGCCTAGCCCGGGAGATGCACCAGGAGGCACAGGATTGCGCAGCCTGGATGACCTCGGGACTCTGGACTCTGGGGAGAGTTCATGAGCGCGAGGGGAAAGAGGGATTTTCAGTCCTAGACTAAAGACCCCGCAGGGCCACATACTGGAAGGGAGGTCAAATATATTCCTTGGGACGGGGCGGTGGGGGGCCGGGTGGTAATCAAAGTTTAGTGGAACGTGGTGACTCACGCCTGCAATACCAGCACTCCGGAGGCTGAGGCAGGAGGATAGTGACCTCCAAGCCAGTCTGGGCTACGGAGAACGTTCCTGCTGGAGCTGCACAGTAAGAAACAAAACAAAAAAGTTAAGAAAAGAAGATGAGGGGACTGTTTAATTATTTGCTGGCATTGTAGTTTTTTTGTTTTGTTTTGTTTTTTTTGGGGCGGGGGAAGTTTGGTTTTTTTAAGTGCAAGCAGAGTGTGGTGGAACAAGCCTGTAATCCAAACGCTTAGGAGGATGCTCATTCAAGGCTAGACTCGAGTTTGAGGCCAGCCTAGGACACATGAGATGTTGTCTCCAAAACAAACAACAAAAACACGATGCACTTACATAGATGTAGGAAAAACATCGGCACACATAATAGTTTTTAAAAGTAAATGGAATGCTTTCAAAAGCATAGTGGTGAACATCCTTCCGATAAAGAATTTGTATATATATATATACTGGTGAATTTTGTAGAATGTATGTATGGAAAATACACAAAAATCCTGGGCTTTAGTTTCCTTCAGGGTTAATCCAGGCTGGGTACAGACCAGAGGGAGAAAAACTTTCATGCTTAATTTTGAGCCATTTGGGGGGGAAAAATCGCCTTTCTGAAAAGTGAACTAAACTAAACTTATTAATTTGATAATTGTGGAGTGCTTAAAATTAAGCTCACAGGGGCTGGAGAAATTCAGCAGTGGAGAGTGCTCACTACTCTTCCAGAGGACCCAGGTTCAGTTCCTAGCATTCATATCTTGTGGCTCATAATCACGTGTGGGTCCATATCCAGGGGGATCCAGGGCCTCTGACCTCTGAGGACAACTGTACTTACATGCACACACCTACAAACAGACACACATATGTACACATGGTTTGAAAATAATAACCCCAGCTCTCAGGAGGCAGAGGCAAGTAGATCTCTAAGTCTGAGGCCAACCTGGTCTACAGAGTGAGTTCCAGGACAGCCAGGGCTACACAGGGAAACCTTGTCTCAAAAAACCAAATAAAGTAAAATTAAGCTTACTTAAGAGCGGAGTGGGGTGACTTGGAGAGACAGGGATCAAGACTTCTGAAACTGGGCATAGGTCCTGGGGCCAGGGAGAGGAAACAGGACAGGGCGGAGTCAGAAGACTCCAACAGCAGGGAGCAGCACTGGACTTGGTTTATGCTCTCAGGGCCTACAACATACACAGACATGGCAAACGGAAGCATGGCTTGCACCTGGAAACTTCCAGATGAATAAATGTTTAATTAAATACTGACAGATGCCCAGCAGTCAAATGCTCCATAACCCAGAGACTATATGTAATATGTAATGTGAGTAGGTTTTTGTTTGTTTTTTAATGTGTATATGGGTGTTTTCCCTGCATTAGGTACATGCAGTAGCCCTGGAGGCCAGAGAGGGCACTGGATCCCCAGGGACTAGAGTTACAAACAGTTGTGCGCTACCATGAGGGTGCTGGGAATCGAACCTAGATCCTCTAAAGTAAAGCTAGTGTTCTTTACTGCTGAGCCTTCTCTCCAGTTCTGTAAGCATATTTTATTGTTTTGTTTTTTTTTTTTTCCCCAAACAGGGTTTCTCCATGTAGTTTTGGTGCCTGTCCTGGATCTCGCTCTCTAGACCAAGCTGGCCTCACAGACATCTGCCTGGTTCTGCCTCCCAAGTGCTGGGATTAAAGGCATGCTCCACCGCCGCCCAGCTCAGCATATTTTATTAGTAACACATTTGATGTATTGGGAGCAGGCTACCCAAAGGAAGCAAGGAGTAGAGCCTGGCCATACTGGCGATACTCCCAGACATCCTCACAGCAATGCCTGCCCCGGCCCAGGTGACAAGTCTGCACAAGGCAGGCAGAGAGTCACTGTGAGTAGGAAGAGGGACATGTGGAGAGTCAGCTGCAAAGACAAACCACAATGGCCAGACCCCTTCCTAAGCGCACGCACAACAATAGAGGGGTGCTGTAATATCTGGTTAGTACACACCACAGCTGTGCAACAAACTTTCCTGTTAATATATCTAGCACGGTTCAGTTCTAAGGTCAGATTTTTCATGTATATTTCTGCATAGAGGAACAGAAACACCCTCCACAGACACACCCGGAATTGCGTCTCCTAGGTGACTCTCAATCATTACATTGACATTGAAAGATTAACTGTCACAGGGCTGGGCAGATGTAGATTATTGGCTATATTACCCAAGCTGCCCACAAACTCCCAGACTCATGTCCTTCTTCCCCAACACTCCACAATTATTTGGACCATAGGTTTATGATGATGCCAGTCTTTGTTTTTTTGGTTGTTTTTTTTTTTTATAGTTAGAACTTTGTATTGATATTTTTTGAAGATTTTATTTATTTTGATTGTATGTTTGTGGTTTTGTCTGCACATGTGTCTGTGCCCACAAGAGAGCATTGGATCCCCTGGAACCAGAGTCACAGACAGTTGTAAGGCACTGTGTGGGTGCTGGGAATTGAACCCAGGACCTCTACAGAGCAGCAAATGTTCTTAACCTGTGAGCCATCTCTCCAGCCCCTTGATTTGTTTTAATTCACCATGTGAGTTCTGTTTTCTATAGCTTTCTTCAAGACAGGAGGACTGGTTATGGATAGGCAGCATGGACTTGGCAGGACTGAGAAAGGCTGGTCCTTGCCAGTTAGAGGATGGCTCTCCCCTTTGGATAGCTACAGCTCTGCGGATTTGGTGGAACATAATTCACTCTTTGTGGGAAACCACATACCCTCAGTGACACTGGTGGCTACTGGCAGCCATCCCGTGACCATGAGAATATTCCTGAAGATAAAGCCAGTGGGAAGGAGAGAGATGGAGGACTTGAGTCTCGGGTGACCTTGATGAGCTGTGACCCATAATAAGGTGTCCAAGGAGGTCCTGCCACTAGGCCTGATCTGTAAGATAAGGGTCCCTAATGGGGAAGCCAGGTGTCATGTGAGGTTATTTGGAGACCATATCCCAGAGTAGAGGAAGCAAAAGCTTTCAGCAAGGAGCCGTCCGTGGAGGTCCTGATCACTCCTTTAGACCATTCCCTTCGCTTCCCCATCTCTTCATGCACCTGTACTTATTTCCAGAGCACTTCTATGTGCTGACCAACCTGCTGAATACTGGACCCAGAGACAACACGGCCGGAGCCACCTCTTCTTCGTACTCTGGACTCCCGGCTGCTGCAGATTGACAGCTCTGCACACACTGATATGAAGCCAACTCCCATACGTGCCATGGAAAATTTCAAATACAGAACAGGGTGAACTGTATACTGGATAAACAGATGAGAACACAGGTGTGCCTGTACCCACATAGAACATTTCTGGGTAAATGCCAGAGAAATGGGCGTTAAAGACCTGAGGATGTATCTCACCTGGTAGTGTGCTTGCCCAGCATGTATAAAAGCCCTGAGTGTGATCCACTGCATGGCACTACAGGGGTCTCTGTTAGCTCTGCAGCCAGCAGAGTGATGACTCATGAGAGACAAGAAGGCCCTTTGTTTCAATATGATCAGTAACCGGTGCTGGTTTAACCTTCAAGAGTCTGACCCTGAGTAGTTTATTTTAGGCATATTTAAGCACAGCACAATTTGGTGAAAAGTTTTCTGGTTATAATTAACTCAATCTCTTGTGCACAACAAAGCTTAAGACATGGCTACATCAAAACTCTTTGTAAAGTACAAGAGACCTGTGACATCTTCCATCAAGATGGGTTCTATAGGTTAACTGAGAAAATAAGCTTAAGATAAGGGTGTAGAGAGGATCCGGTGTGATCTCTTTCGGCCACAATAGCGTTAAAGGTCACCAGGCTATCAACCACGTCTGCTCCCAGCCTTCTGGGCTGAAAACTGGTTGTACATCTCCTCCTTTTGAGAGACTACCCTGTGTGTTTAACATTCCTGGTTTCCCTAGTGCTTCTCTGTGAGCACAAGAAATTCCTCTTACATGGCACAAAACCAGGCATAGTAGAGCACGCGTGAAATATCAGTACTCTGGAGGTGGAGGCAGGTGGATCAGAAGTTCATGGCCATCTTCAGGTATTTGTTGGGTTCAAAGCCGGCTTGGGCTAGAAGGAGGGAAGGAAGTGGAGAAGAGAAATGGACCTTCAGGGCTGCCTCTGTAGAGGGGAACAAAAGAGAGGGAGGCTCAGACAGGAAACTTGTTTGTCTGATTTTTGCCTTTGCAGTTTGAATAGTTTGCAATGTGCTTTAAAAAAAAAAAAAAAGTTGAAGCATCCGGAAAAAGCATTCAAGACACTTCGTTATCTTGACGTGATAAATTCAGGTTTCAAAATCGTAGGTACAATGCGACCCCTATTTTTGCAGAGAAAAGTGTGTGATACATCTCCATACCTAGAGGAATGCTGCATTAGTTGGTATTTTCACTGCCGTTTATTCGACATTTTTCTGATAAAATACACACAGTAGAAAAGGGCACAGACACCGAAGTCCATGTTCCTCTTCTCTGTTCTTTGCATCCTGTAGCCTGTGCTTCACTTATCACACGGAAAATGTCAACAGACATTATGTCTGGGGTGGGGTACAGCAGGGACAGCCTCTTTTGTGACTTCCTGGGACTTCTCATTTTCATCTATGCACTTACATTACTATGAAGAGAAGAAAAATATAATTTATTTCTTTGTGTGTGCTGTATGCATGTGCAGGTGTTCTTGGGTGAATTCATGTACACATTCAAGTGCACATTGAACACATGCATGTAATAGCCAAAAGCCAAAGCCAAGTGTCTTTCTTAGTTACTCTCCATTTAGTTTTAATAATTTATTTATTTTTATTTTATGTGCATTGGTGTTTTGTCTGCATGTATGTCTGTGTGAGGGTGTTAAATCTTGGAGTTACAGACAGTTGCTACCACCTGCCATGTGGGTCCTGGGAATTGAACCCAGGTCCTCTGGAAGAGCAGTTACTGTTCTTAAGCACTGAGCCATACCTCCAGTCCCAGCCCCTTGATTTTTGTTTGTTTGTTTGTTTGTTTTGTTTTTCAAGACAGGGTTTCTTTGTGTAGTTTTGGTGCCTGTCCTGGATTTCGCTCTGTAGACTAGGCTAGCCTCGAACTCACAGAGATCTGCCTGGCTCTGCCTCCCGAGTGCTGGGATTAAAGGTGTGCGCCACCACCGCCCAGCCCCTTGATTTTTTTAAATTTATTTATTTTTATTTTATGTGTATGATAATTTCACTTTCGTGTATGTAAGTGCACTGTGAGCATGTCTGGTGCCCATAGAGATCAGAACTGGCATCGGGTCCCTGGAACTGGAGTTACGGACATTTCAAGCTGCTATGTGGGTTTGGGGACTAAGCTCAGGCAGGTCTGTTGCAGGAGCAGCAAGTTAACAGCTGAGCCATCTCAACAGTCTCCCTCTCCCCAGCCCCAGTCCACCCCCATGAAATGGGGTCTCACTATGTAGCTCAGGCTGGCCTAGGTGTTGCTATCTTCCTGTCTCAGTGCTGAGATACGAGGTGGGGTGTCACCATGCCTGGCTCAAACACATTACAGTGCTGTGAACTGAGGCAGGCTTTAAGTTGCTTCTCAGTTCAACACAGGAGAAATAAGCTTCATGTGCCCCCTGTTATCACCCACTGCACCCCCCACCCCGCTCAGTTTGATTGGGTGATAAGTCCACATTTCCAAATTATGGGAAAAGACTCCTGTACCACTCTGAACAAAATTCCCTTTCTCTCTGCCTGCTCTGGCCTCATGACCTCCACCCTCTGCCCACCAGCCTCCTTGGAGAGACAGGATGAGTGTCACAGAGAAACCTGTTGCCCTGCTGGGACTCAGAGGGACTCAGCCCAGGACCCATCCCCTGCCTCCTTGCTCATCCAGAACTGTCTGGAAATGGATCTGAACAAGGAGGAGAGAAGGGAAGCATGCTAAGTTCCCTTTCCCAGAGATCTTAGGTTAAAAACGACTGGCCTAGTTAAAACCGCACCTTAATGAGGCTTCTTTCTGGCCTAATTGTCACCATGGCAATGACCCCCGGTGGCCATCTTTAATTAACTTGGAATCAGAGTTGCCAAATGAGCTTCTCCAGTAAATTGCTCAGCAGCCCGGGCAGTCACGCGGCCCCTCCTCTGTCCTGTGCCCTCTCTGCTCCTGAACATCGAGGATGATGAGGCAAGAAATTCTCAGCCTGGCTTTCCTCTCCACCCTCTGGACTTGCCCGCCATGGCCGGGGGAGGAGCTCAGACCTAGAGCAGTGGGAACAGTAGGGAGGATAGCTTCACAGTGCCAAGTCCGTCATACACATTATCCCCTCCAGTCTTCACAGCCATGTCATACACATTATCCCCTTCAGTCTTCACAGCCATGCCAGCCAGGGTGGATACATTGTTACAACTCATCGCCTTTTCCTGACGAGGAAACACAGGCACAGAGAGAGTTAAGTCAGCAGCTGGCAGAGTTGAGGTTACACCCAGGCAGTCAGGTTCCAGGATCAGCGCCACAATGCCTCTGGTGCAGATGAAGTCCGTGGGCTCACATGTATGTTTCTTTGGAGCTGGAGTTGTGACTTTCCAGCTGGGCGACCTTGGGTCACTCACTTCACATCTGTGACGTGTTTCCTCACTTGAAACAAGGAGTGTAAAGCAAGCCAGGGGGGTGGGCAAAGACCCGAGCGGCAGTACCATTGCCGCCAGAGCCTCCCGGCCGTCTTCACCATGATGTGGTCCTGGAAGCAAGATGACATGAGGTCTAGATAAGAAATACCACCACAGACGACCTTGACTCTGCAGTTCCTCTCACGATCCTCCTCCAGTCCCTTGGCAAATCTTTGTGTTTGCTCTTCAAGACAGGGTTGCTCTGCGTAGCCCTGGCTTCCTAGAATTCACTCTGTAGACCAGACTTGGCTTGAACTTCAAGAGCTGCCCGCCGCTGCCTCCCAAGTGCTGGGATTAAAGGCGCGTGCCGCCACCACTACCACCCAACTTCCTTGTGAAATCTTAATGGCTTTCTCTTCAAAATACACCAGAATGGAGCCAGGGCTCATCAGTGGCTCCATCCCAACAGGCAAGAGGAGGCGAGCACCAGATATTGATAGGAAGAAGGGGTCTCTTGACTGCAGCAAGGACTTTGTCTTATCAAGAATGATATGAAGGGTATAGATGGATTTTAGGTGCCCCCTGAAAAGGCCACTCTAGCTGGGCGTGGTGACTCATACCTGTAAGCCAAGCACTTGTAAGGCACAAGCAAGGGAACTGCAGATTCTAAGTTATCTCAGACTACACAGGAAGTACCGGGCCAGCCTGGACTACAAAGTGAGACTTGGTCTCAAAAAAGGAAAAGAGAAAAGAAAAGAAAAGGAAAGAAAAGAAAAGGAAAGAAAAGAGAGAGAGAGAGAGAGAGAGAGAGAGAGAAAGGAAGGAAGAGAGAGAGAGAGAGAGAGAGAGAGAGAGAGAGAGAGAGAGAGAGAGAAAGGAGAGAAGAGGATCTAGGGGAGGAAGGAGCTATTCTTGTGCTGACGGTGTGGCCCAGCGGTATAATGCTTGCCTGGCTCGTGCATCTGGAGGGGGACAAGCGTAAGCACATGCACTTTGAGCAAAGCATGGCTCTCCTGCAACCCCAGCTATTGGAAGGTAGAGGCAGTCGGATCAGGAGCTCAAGACCAGCCTCAGCCTGTGTTACATGAGGCCATGTCTAAAAAAAAGGAGAGGGCCTGGAGAGACGTTCAGTGGTTGAGGGTACTGGCTGATCTTCCAGAAAAACGGGGGTTTGAGTCCTAACACCTACATTGTGGCTCACAACCATCTGTAATTCCAGTTCCAGAGGATTCAATGCCCTCATCTGGCCCTCCTTGTGCACTAGACATACATGCAAGCAAAATATTATATATAATATATATTGTATATATATAATGTATATAATTAAACATCCAGGCATGGTGGTGCATGCTTTTAATCTCAGCACTCAGAAGGCCGAGGTAGGTAGATCTCTGAGTTCAAGGCCAGCTTACAGAGGGAGTTCCAAGACAGCCAGGACTACACAGAGAAACTCTATTTCAGGGGGAGGGGGGAGATAAAAATAAGTGATTTTTGTTTTTGTTTTTTGTTTTTCGAGATAAGGTTTCTCTGTGTAGTTGTGGTGCCTGTTCTGGATCTCACTCTGTAGACCAGGCTGGCCTCAGACTCACAGAGATCTGCCTGTCTCTGCCTCTCGAGTGCTGGGATTAAAGGCTTGTGCCACCACTGCCCGGCTAAAAATAAATATTTTGTTTTTTAAATTAGAAATCAATAAAGAGGGAGAAGGAAGAAAATCTCTCTGGGTGCTGAGTGGGGAAAGGTTGGAAGGAACACTGGAAGCAGTGAGACCCATTAGGTGGCTGCCGGGATTTGTTGCCAGACAATAGTGAGTCATTTAGCTGTGTCTCTAAGCAGGAAGGAGGGCTGTGGCTGAGCCACAGACCCGCCTGTAGGCGACCAGGCAGTGCTGGCCTGAGTTTCAGCACCACTAAAAGAACAGCTCTCGACCGCTAGGCGAGCACAGTTCTGTGAACCGGACTAATCAAGCTTTCCACAAGCTTTCCAAGAGCAGGGCATCCTGGGGGATGAGCCTTGGCATCCTCCTTCTGGGAATATCTCACCTTTGAAAACCGTCTGCTGCCTTCTAAAGCGAAGAAAACTACTGCGCGCAGCCTCCGAAGGCCTCTGGGAACCCACACAAGCTCCGCACCTTGGGAATCCGGCATGCAGCATGCGGGCATGCGGTGGGGTCGGGGAGGGCACAGGTCAAGGCCTCTGAACTAGGTCTTTCCCTCCCAAGGCTGGAGAACTAAAAACGAAGCCAACTCTGCAACGGGTTGTGGGAAGGGGTGAGTGAAAGAGTGCTTGGCCAGGTCTAACCACAGGGCTTTCTGCCCTGCAGCTCTGTGAAGCAGATCTTCCAGAGGATGCGGTGGTCTCGTTGACCTACACACCTGTGGCCACATCCTCCTGGTGCCTCTGTGGGATGCCATCCAGGAGCCTCTTGGCCCATCGCCTCCCCGGCACGCAGCCTAGTTCTGATGAGATTCTATCTCTGGTGATCAACATGATTCCTTTTCCAAGTTTGGGTGGTGCCACTGGGGCTCCCTGGAACTGAAAAACCCACTTAGGTTCTTCTCTGGAGCCTTCTCTGTCGAGGTGCTGAGAGCAAGGTTTTAAGACCTGAATGGTTTCCAGATTTCATACTCAGAAATGACCTCCAGATTTCCAGTCTCTCAGCTTCCCTGTGGAGAAGAAAAGAAAGCAAGAGTGAGACACCCCCCCCCCTCCACTTTAGCCATTCCCCTCAAGTCGCCTTTAGGAACCCTCCTTGAATAATGCTTGTGCCACAGTGCTAAGCCTGCTGGAAACCAAGAGTTCTCTGCCAATGTCCAGGTTCACACATGACTCCCTGGCCAGCACACTGACTGTCTCCCTGGCCAGCACACTGACTGACTCCCTGACCAGCACACTGACGACTCCCTGACCAGCACACTGACTCCCCGGCCAGCACACTGACTGACTCCCTGGCCAGCACACTGACGACTCCCTG